TATCTATCAGGTTTTTGTCCTGAATAATTATAAGGATAGAGATACCATTACTGATATGTGAAAGACTCCAATGGAATGGGTTCAGAGTCAAGGTCTTAAAAATTAGTCATGTTAAGTTTGCGATGCCTATTAAAATTCCACAAGGAGATGTCCAATAGGCTGCTGTTCATAAGAGAAACTAAGTATCTTGCTCATAAACATATTGACTCCAGAGTCATGTGACCTTCATCACATCATCACATCATACCTACTCTTCCAAAAAGAATTATTTATGGAAGAGAAAACAATATCAGATAGTGTTTGGAGTAATCAGAAGGGTAAAATAACCTTTGACTTAGGTCACCTTCCTCATGAGAGATTACCAAAGGATCAATTGCTTAATTTCTATTACTAGCTACATAGATAGCTATCTTTTCCAGAATGCCAAAAATTTCCTATCTTCTAAAAATACAATTCCACAGTAGTCACAAATATTAAGAGTGGTGATGTGTCATCATATATTTAATCATCTTCCTATTGCTGGCTGCACATGCAGCAAATGTTTCTGTCTCTGTCTGTCTCTCTAAATATATATATATACATATATATACACACACACACGCGCGTGCAAAGTATGGTTTGTTTGGGGGGTTTTTTTGTAGAAAATGTCTAAGATTTTGTAATCAATAAATATAACAAGGTTCTTCCTGCTGGAGCTTGAAGAACACATCTTAAGGATGAAAGTCCATATAATCGGTAAGGATATGAATGTTAATAAAGGAAATATCTATCTTCCAGAAGCAACAAATCATTAAAAATATATTTCCTAGATGCTGAACTTTAGTTACCAGGTAAATGTGTCATTACCTCTTTCTGTACGTATCCCAAGTTTAGTTTCAAATGACCATACAGAACTATTTCTGTTTCCTGTGATTTTTGATAATACTCTCTTACGTAGACCTGTAAGACATGTCGCAGTTGTATCTCATGCTAAAAAACAAAACACATAAGTAAGTCTTCTGGTTCAAATGAAAATACATATTCCAAACATCTAGTTAAACTAAATACAAGGTGGAAAATAATGTTCATGACTATTTGACTACAAACAAAACAAAAAAATCATTTAATTCAAGTTAAAATTCTTCAGTTCCTTTTGCTTGAACTACTTGTTTGCTGATGTTATTAGAACATATGACAAGACATTAAAATGCACTTATTTCTAGTAAAACCAATCATTAAAAAGTACTGGTCTTAGTAGTAGTACAATTGTTTTATATTGCCCTACACTGATCTGTTACCTATTTACAAAAATAAAGAAAATCGTAAGTGATACTCTTAAGCCTCAGTATTCAAAGCTACCTATTTTTAATGGATATAATTATTCAAAATAGTTGCAAAAAAGTACTGGCAAATAAAATGATAAAATATTTTCTCTATAAACCATCTTAATTTTAAAAGTGAGAATATAAACAAAAATCATCCTAGATTATATGTATTTTATATAGAGAGAGATATGTGTATATATATATATTTTGTGTGTATTTATAAAAAATACACATATACGTATATGTATATTTTGTATGTATTTATACAAATAAAATATGTATGTATTTATACAAATAAAATATGTATGTATTTATACAAAATATACATACAAACATACAAACACAAAATATGTATGTATTTATACAAATAAAATATGTATGTATTTATACAAAATATACATACAAATACATACAAACAAAATATGTATGTATTTATACAAATAAAATATGTATGTATTTATACAAAATATACATATACATATATGTGTATTTTTTATAAATACATACACACAAAAAAGTATACATATGTAATATATAAGATTATATAAAGAATGTGTAAGTGAATGTGTGTATGTATGTATACACACATATATGTAATTTATGTACATGATGCTGGCTAAGAACTTCCCATTGTGATCGTCACACGTCCTTGGCTCTCTGATTTGAATTGACCCTTACACATGAATTTAGCCCATACTTTTCCACCCCACCTCTCAAAATTGCCCATACAAAGGCTTAATCCACAAGGACTTAAACTAACCTCTTGTTAAAGCCATATAAAAAAATTCTGCCCTATTCCCCCATATTAGAATATTCCTTCAGAGTTTTCTTATGCCCAGAATTTTCTAATAAAGACTTATACTATGGGTTCTCTGCTTAATTTTTCCACATTTACATTTCTTCTTTCTTCTGAGCAACTTAAACTAACTTACCTTTTCAAAAAATTGTTTGTGTAAATAGCAACTTGAGGCATAGTGTCCATAGATTCTAAGGACATCTGACTCTATTTCTGAAGACGGTACAATATTGATTTTCTGGTAAAGAGCATGAATGATAAAAATGTTTAAGAAGTCAGTTTGATGAGGAGTTATTCCCTCTTCTGAAACAATTAGGAAATACGGATAACATTCTTTAAGAAATATCTCCCATTCTGGTGACAAACAGTTGGAAAATTCTGTATAAATAGTGACATCAGTATTATATTCTAAATGTTGAATCAATATGGTACGAAGGGCCAGAAGCTCAGGGTAATTAAAATACATATTTTCTGCATCCTGTAGGAAAAAGAAACCAACGTTTATTTTAGAGATAAAAAAAGTAGCTAGTTATTTTTCTAAATATTAGTATTATGTGTAAATTATTATATTAACATGATACACAGAAATAAGAAGTCAGGTTATTAAAATGTTTTTTTCTGAATCCTGTAGAAATGTTAAATAAATAAAGACTCATTAGCTATTTTCCTATCAATAATACTTGATATCATTCCTATTAGTAGAGACTTTAATTATAATCTGAAGAAGCAAAATAACTAAAAGAGTAATGACTAATCACATTTAAAAACAAATTTTTTTCTTAGACTACAGAATGAGAGTAGAGAATTAAATCTGTCTGTTACCTTAAAGAAAACTATTACAAATCTGGCTTCTTTTTGAATGAAATCATGCAGAAATTGTTCTACAATATAGAAGAAGTGAAGAGTTTGTCCTTCCTTGAAGTTCACATTAAAAACACAAGTGATGAATAATGAATCTCCATCAATCAAAAAAAATTCAGACTCAACGAAGTCTTGAAGTAAGTTCACCATTCTGAATAAAAATATAAAACACACGATAAAATGATAATAAAAATAATAGCTTGAGAGAAAATTCCACAGTTCAATTGGTTACACAAATTTTCTTCTGGTTTAAGAAACAGAAAAACTAACCAAAAATTTCTATTATATTTAAGTAACAATTTTCTAGGGCATTCTCATTATTCTGTAATAGAAAAAGCCCTTAGTTAAAAATTGGACAGATGCTATAGTGAAATTGAAATTCATTAGTATAAGCATAACTATATAAAAACTATACCTTTATTTTAAATTTTGATACTTATTGTTTTTGTACTTCTAGTATGAAAAATTAGGTCAATCATTATCCTTGATCAATTATATGTATGGAACTATCTTATTTTGCTTTTTTAAGTTAATATATAACAATCAGCTATGAACTCTTTAACCAACTCAAGAAATAAAAGATTTTCTATAACTTATATCTACCTTATGAGCTGTTTTTAGAACTCATCTCCCTATCTCTCCCCCTCAGAGGTAACTACTGCCTTGAATTTAGTTTTCATCATTCTCAAGCTTAATTTTTTATGGCAATATATGTATGCCTAGTTTTGAATATTTATTAAATGAACAATGTCTTATATATGTTTTCTGGAATTTACTTTTTAAATTTAATTACTAATTACTACTAAAATTCTATCATATGGTTACAGGAAGCTACACTTGAATAACTTTATTGCTGTATAATATTCAATTATATGTCTACATTGCAATTTATTCTATATCTTTTTTAATGGGCATTTGAATTGTTTCTTCCTTTATTACTATTACAAACTGTGCTGCAAAGATCGTTCTTGTAGATGTTTCCTAATGCACAGGTGAAACTCTAGGGTATATTTATAGAAATGGCATTATTGATTTCTATATTATAAGATAATGCCAAATTGATTTCTAAAGCAATTGTACAGAGCTATACTTGCATGTGCAGATGTCAGAAATTCAATTCATCTATATAATTTCCAATACCTGGTGTTGTAAAAAATGAACATATTTTTTTCCTAACTTCAATTCTTTTTGTTTTGTTTTGTTTTGTTTTGTTTCTTGGGTGTTGTGGCTAGGATGTGGGTACTACTATACACTACCATAAAAAAAAAATTAAAACACTGTAGAAATACGCTAATTCTGCTTTTTTTCATAATTTAATCTTTGTATATTCAAGCATATAATGTAGGGGGTTAGACTGCATTCTCTGCAGTTAGACTGCCTAGGTTAGAATCCTGTGTCTACCACTTACAAGCTCTAGGACTTCAGCTTACTTGCTTGTCTGTCCTGTGCTACATTTTCTCAACGTCAGTGGGAATTAAAGCAGATAATATTTCACGTAGTTGCTGTGAGAATTAACAAGATAAATATCTATAAAGTGACTATAACCAAACTATGTTTAGTTCATAATATGTGCTTAAATATGCTTATTATAAGTGATGCTTTGGGTTTCTTGTTTTATTTTGTAACTGTATATAATTAAAATTATAGTATATCTATTCTAAATGATTTTAGAAAAGTGAAATGTGGAGATAAACACCATAATATTAGACTCAATAAATCACCTATGGCAGGATATTTTACTTTCGTTATCACTGTACCCTGGCGCCTATCATATTAATTGGCACACAAAAATAACTGTTGAGGGAATTAAATAATGCATTGATTTGGTGTATTTGTCTTTGTCGATATTATATAATGCTTTGGTATTAGGTAAAACATACCAAAGACAATTTTATGACACTTGCATAATATTTTGACATGTAATATAATGTCAATTAAATCGTTACTTTAGTCTTGTGCAACATTAAAAGCAAATTGAATCTTTCCTCCAATTATACCTCTTTTCAAAGTTTTCAGTATCTTATTCCTTGCTCTTGAATGAAAGCTGTATACCATAATCCTTCCCAAGAAAAGAAAATATTTACCTGTTTTCAAAAAGATTGATCTCTTGCCCCATTGGCAGTTTCTCCAAAATTATTTGTAGCAGGAATAAATAAAAAATTATGCCATACAGTTGAAATTAATTACTTCGAATGATATATAGCTTTGAAGTATTGTGTTGTACTTACTTAGATTTTGACAGAGTTTTCCAAATTAACAGAGAGAGCTCATTCAGAATTTTCTTGTATTCAGTTAAACCTTTAAAAATAAATAACAGAAGTTTAATACTCAAGTTTAAATTGATTTTAAGTGACAATTAACATCTGTTGTTAATTGAGTATATTTATATTTTATACAAGATTGCATGTACATGGCTGAAATAGCCAATAAACATGTAGAAGATAGATATATTAAAAATGAGAATATAACTAAATTACTTACTATTAAGATTAATTATGGGCAAGGTAAGCCAAATCCTACAGTTTTAAAATTAGACTTGTCATAAAATCTATGAATTTTAATAATATACATAATGAATTTTAATAATATATATAAATTATAACAAATCCACAAAGGCAAAAATGTACATAAAACTGAAAATTTACCACTTTTATAATTAATTTATATGGATATATATATTTAGATAACTCATATACATTTATAGATGTAGTATCTATATTAAAAAATTCTCATTAAAGATAAAT